GTATAATGTCAGACATTTCTCCTGCCTAGTTAGAAAAGCGGAGTGCGCTCGTGCCTTCCGAACAACACCGCACGCGACACATTATTCTGACGTGTTTCCTCTTCTTTTCCACCTTTGTTCTACCTATTTTCTATTTTCATATTACATTATTATTTCTTCTATTTTTGCGTCTTTTATGTTTCTTCTGTTTCTGTGTTTTTACAATCACCTTTTTTGCTGAGTATTACTTACTTCAAAACTGGTTATGTGTAAACAATTCTTTTTCCCGTTTGACACTTCTCGGTGTTTCTTCGGCTCGCATGTTTTTTTATTTTTTTACTTTTATTTTATACTATTTACTTAATATGAATTAATATTCTAGCTCAATTAAGTATATATAATTATAATTTTTTGAATATTTTATATTTAATTAAAGTATCAGATATATTTATCTCTGACTACACTCTTCGAGATGCTGAATATTAATTTTACTTCAGTACGTAATACTTACACTGTTCATTGTGTTGTTGAGTAAAACACGATTTTTTACCAATTTTTTGCAAGGATTTAAATTTATCATCTCCAAAAGGGCTCAATTTTTTACAACTTCTAGATGTATAAAAGTGTATCTTGTGCCAAAAGCGCGTTACTACATTGTCATAAATATACATGAAGACTCTCTCTCTTTCTCATCCTTTCAAATAATGATGATATTTCACGCGGCAGTAATGGCCAATTTTTTCGAAAGCAACTCGCGATAACCAAGACGTAAGTTGCCGGTTGTTAAGGAAAGCGCGCTGCCGAAAATTAATTCTGAAACGTATTAACCGGATAACCTTCTACATTGAGATTTACTCGTCGATTTCTTTATAGTGTTTATTGTGTCTTTTCTTTCTCTCTTTTCTCCCTCTGTTGCTTTCCGTGTTTATAACCGAGAATTGTATTCCGCGTTGCTGAGACCTTACCTTTTGCCCTCTTTTTTTCTACGAATGGATTAAACTCATAGCATGAGTTTTACTTCGTAAATTATCGGTTACGACGACGTGCCGATATCACCAGTCGAAATAAGGAGATAGAAACGTGTCAATAGCGTGATGCCTACTGAGGTCGCACGAAGAGTAGTCGACGTCAATATTGTTGCAGGAAAGGAGCGTGTACGATGAAAAACCCAAACTTGAACGAACAATACTTTAAACCTGCGCGCAAAAAATTATTTGACGAATTCACATTTCTTGGCTATACAAATCATTTCTGTCTCATATCTACGGACGATTGATATTATTCTGAGAAAACCTTCTCTTTTTCTTCTATAAATTACGAATCATCCTTGACGGTGATACACAAATTTCGAAAGCAAATTACTGGAAGAAGAAGAGAGAGAGACAGACAGACAGAAAGAGAAAGAAGAAAAAGAAAGAAAATTGAATGATTGATTTAGTTCTATTTTCTATGCGCTTTGCAACAAATTCTCTACAGCGCAACTCACCAAACTAACAAAAAGAAAACCAATATCGAAAAACAAATAAATACCTAATATAAAACAATATCTAAAGAAATATAAATATGTAATATAAAACAATAAAAGATGAAGAAAAAGAAAACGAAATATGAAATTTCAGAGTGAATCTAGTCTAGAAAATAAAATTTCAAATACGAAACCAAGTACAGAAACAGAAATCAACCGAACAATACAGATAGCGTGATTGCTATGTGATTCTCACGCACGGTCTCCGTGACACACGGCCTATACATGATCTACAAACACAGTCGAAGCTTCATGGACATCGTAGCCAGGCAGTCGCATGTAGCCATTCGAAGTGAACAGTTGCGGAGCCTGAA